GGTTTTGGCTCGTCGATCGGAGGTCGAACGGCGAGTAGATCGGAGTTGAAAGTTGGTGACCGGGAGAGGAATTATGAGCATTTTCTGCATAAAAGGCACGGGAAATGGGGGTTATATTAACTCCTAAAGAAAAATGGTTAAATCATGAGTTTAGCCACTGAACTTCCTGCACTTCTTAAAACGGTCTGCTAACTTTGAAATTTTATAATTTAATCCACTGTTTCTTTCAAAATACCAATTAAATCCACCACTTTATAATTTCTTAAATTTAGCCCCTAAATTGGGGTGTTACATATTATGTAAATATGAAAAGGAGATATGTAGACATTTGCTTAATCTATTAGTGCATTGAAAATTTGAGGACGAATTTTCTTAAAGGAGGGGAGATTTGTCACATCCTCCATATCAAGTTAGTGACTAAATTGAAATATTTCAGAATTTGTTGGTCAAAGTAGATAAATTAAAAAGTTTGGGGAATTATATGAAGAATGTTGTGTAGGATTTAAATATTAAAGAAGGAAATATAGAAGGGAAAAATGGTAATTTGATGGAAAGATAATTATTAAGTGTGGATATATATGGGTTACACGTGGGAATGAAGGAGAATAAGGAAGCTTTCTAGAGTTATCTTCTTCATCTTCTTTCAGCCGTGAACTCTAACTTGTTAAGGTGAGATTTCTTATTAGTTGGTTTTTAGTTGAAATTAAGCTTGGTTTTTTATCATTAGATGATATTTAAGCTTAAGGAAAGCTTAAGTTATCTTAAAACTATAAGATGAAAAAGATAATATGAATCAAAGATTGGGAGTTTTTAAGTGAAATCTTGAAGAAGAGTTGATAAGTTAAATTTAAAGCTAAATTTGACTTGTCAAGGGTTAAATTAAGAGATATGAAGTGATAGAATGGGTTCTATAACATGTTGAAAATTTAGTATAATTCTTGAATTCTATGTGGTGGATAGGATTTTGAGGTTTAAGATGTGATTAATGAGTAGAAATGGGTTTAAGCATGTGTATATGAATTATGGATATGTAGAGGGTTGAAACATGAGGTAATTGTGAGAAATGGAGAGAAGTTTCGTGCATAAAATGTGATTTCTGTGCTAGGGGCATCGATACCCATTCAATAGGTACCGATACCCTCTCAAACGAAAAATCACATAATACAATGAGGGTACCGATACCCTAAGAGGGGGTATCGATACCCCCTAAAGGAAAAAGGTGAATATTGGTTTATTAAGTTCATTTAAGTTGTTAGTGTCGAATTATAAGGTGTAAGTATCTAATGATTGCCTTAAAATGTATTATTGTGTAGATATAGAACGTGATCCCGTTCCGGAACAATCTAAGAATTAAAATCAAATCAAAGAAAGCAAGGCTAAGGTGAGTGCGTAATATAGGTATAGTTAATGGGAATAAGACTTACGATAAGTCTATTTCCGAAATAAACTTCCTAGTATAATAGTATGAACATGCATACATGATAGTCTTGATTTAGTATGTGTAAGTCATATATGTTTACATATGATTCACTACATGTTGTATGACCCATAGGAATGTATTTAAATACTTGTGTGATAGAATATGAGATGGATGCTTATATGCATATGTGTTTATATGTTATAGTGAATTTTATATGAAATAGATATGTAAATAAATTTATGAAATTATATGACTATGAGATATGAAATACATGATCATGTAAGAACAAGAACATGTGAAAAGAAATATATGATAAAGAAATGTGGAACTCTATAAGAGTATTACATGAAGTGTAATAAAAAGATATAAGTTATGTGCTTATGTGATAGAAATAAATGATAAATATAATAATAATGCCCATGTTATGTGATGTGAGAACCATAGGTATAGTTGGCATGCCAAGATTCGAGGGTCTACGCGATCCTTCGGGACATATACATAGGTCATTCGGGACAAATACATAGGTCATTCTGGCCAAATTTCACATGCCCCTAGTGGGACCCTATATGAGCTGTGGTGAAAGCAATAGTGCATAACCTCAATGTACTCGTATACCTTAAGTTCTCAGTAATGTACATGGGCCTATAAAAGATATGAAAAGACTTTGTATGTTATCATGTTACTATTACTTGTATTAAATCACTTTTGCATATGAACTAATAAAGAAATAATGATTAATGTATGTTAGGAGTAGAAATATGTTATAGAAGGTATAAGATTATGTGGTTAATCGATAAGGGGGTTAATAATGATTTATGCAAATGTATTTATTTCTTGACATGTAACTTGAAATGATTTTGTCTTGTGTGATGAAATGAAATGAGTTTGGATAACATGATAGAATATAGCATGCATACATAGTTATATGTTATATAGTGTATTATATAACTTATTATGCCTCACTAAGTCTATGACTTAGCGTGTAAGTGTTTTTACACGTAGGTTTCGAAGAGCAAGAAGATCAAGAATAGGAAATTGTAGAGCAACATATCTCCACTCAGAGATCAGATCAGAATTAAAGTTACAGTAAGTATTTTGTTGGGTCAAAGGCGTTGGCATGTAGAAATATGTAATTTATGAATGCTCTGATCAATTTTTGAAATGTTTTGAACTTAAGTATGTAAATATAGTTTTGTGTTAATAGAAATCACAATTTTCCATAATTTTTATAAATGTATGAGTTTTGAAAAGTCAATGTGACATCTCGGACTCGTATCCGGGTTGGGTAAGGGTTTGAGGTATTACAGGAGGTTCATCTCTGATCAAGCTGGTAAATCTTTACGGGCCTATGGTGACCCATGGGTAGGCTCTTCCGAGATGTTCCCTTGGGTAGGCTCTCAGGCCCCAAGGTACTCCCTTGGGTAGGCTCTGAGTCCCCAATGTATTCATTGGGTAGGCTCTAAGGACCCAAGGCATTCCCTTAGGCTAGCTCTTATGCCTAATGGGCCTAGAGTAAGTCCTTATGGATGCAGTTTTGGGGAACTACATATCAGTGTTCGGTTGGAGGGTATTACAATGATTTTATAAATTTGATTTACTAAAATAAACTACTATTGTTTTTAAACTATGATTACATTTATTCTGATTTTGTGGGAACACATTAGACGTCATATTCTGATATATTAAATGTGTCTCTCTGAATGTTTCTTCCGAACTGTAAGCTTCATGGCTTCTTCCTAAAGAAATAATTATGAAACTTCAACTCATCATTAGGATCTAAATATGCTTGGATAAATAAGGAAAACTTCATGTTGCTCCATATATCCACTTGACCTTTAGCATTCATATGGTAGTTTTGTATTACTGAGTTTTCCCAAAGCTCACTCTGTTACTCTCCATTATCGACATCAATATGGGAGATCCTTCCGTGCTATTTAAGAGTATAATACATGTGTAATAACGGTCATGTAGGTCACATTTTCTGTTAGATTGAGTCTATAACTTATTTTGACATGGGACACAATTGGATTCTGTTTTTAGTATATGAATGATTTTCTGAAATTGTATTTCTTTTTATTAAATGATTTTACAGTTTTTAAGAAGTCTAATAAAAATTTTAAATTTTCCTGGATTTTTATCTTGGGTCGCCCCAGTGACCCTAATGTTACATCCACAACCACGATAGTTGCAGTGACCACAATATGATTTTTTATGTTCACAATAATGATAAACACAACGCGATCGAAGACACAAATACAAATTGTAGTTTAAACCTTTGATTAGAGCCTAATTTATTAAATTGCCCAGGGCCACCAAAATCTCATAAACAAGCTTGTATATATATATATATATATAGTGTGTGTGTTGAGATTGAATATAATACGATTTGATTTTGATAAATATATATAATTTGATTTAAATTGATAAAACTGAATGAAAATTGATAATATAGATATTCCAATAAAATAAGACAAGGGTTTAATTAAAATTAAAATTAAAATTAAAATTAAAATTAAAATTAAAATTAAAATTAAAATTAAAATTAAAATTAAAATTAAAATTAAAATTAAAATTAAAATTAAAATTAAAATTAAAATTAAAATTAAAATTAAAATTAAAATTAAAATTAAAATTAAAATTAAAATTAAAATTAAAATTAAAATTAAAATTAAAATTAAATTAAAATTAAAATTAAAATTAAAATTAAAATTAAAATTAAAATTAAAATTAAAATTAAAATTAAAATTAAAATTAAAATTAAAATTAAAATTAAAATTAAAATTAAAATTAAAATTAAAATTAAAATTAAAATTAAAATTAAAATTAAAATTAAAATTAAAATTAAAATTAAAATTAAAATTAAAATTAAAATTAAAATTAAAATTAAAATTAAAATTAAAATTAAAATTAAATTAAAATTAAAATTAAAATTAAAATTAAAATTAAAAAAATTAAAATTAAAATTAAAATTAAAATTAAAATTAAAATTAAAATTAAAATTAAAATTAAAATTAAAATTAAAATTAAAATTAAAATTAAAATTAAAATTAAAATTAAAATTAAAATTAAAATTAAAATTAAAATTAAAATTAAAATTAAAATTAAAATTAAATTAAATTAAAATTAAAATTAAAATTAAAATTAAAATTAAAATTAAAATTAAAATTAAAATTAAAATTAAAATTAAAATTAAAATTAAAATTAAAATTAAAATTAAAATTAAAATTAAAATTAAAATTAAAATTAAAATTAAAATTAAAATTAAAATTAAAATTAAAATTAAAATTAAAATTAAAATTAAAATTAAAATTAAAATTAAAATTAAAATTAAAATTAAAATTAAAATTAAAATTAAAATTAAAATTAAAATTAAAATTAAAATTAAAATTAAAATTAAAATTAAAATTAAAATTCGATTCTATAATTGAAATAGTTGGAAGTTTTGTGGTATAAAGTATTTAACGTCTAAAATTTAATGGCATCATATGTTTTTTTTTTGGATAAGTTAGATTTTTTATTTATCCAAGAAGAAAAATACAAAGTTTCAAAGAAGGTCAGAGACCACTATACAACAAACAAATTAGGCTATATTCCAATTATTACAAAGAAGCATATTAACATTATCAAGCTTATTGAAATCTCTATTCATATGATGAAGTCCTACTGTCTCTTTTATAGAACCAAGCAAGTCTTCAATAGTTCGGAATTTTCCTCGGAATATACGACAGTTTCTCTCCTCCCAAACCTTGTAAATGAAAGCACACGAAGCAGTCTTCATGATAGAGGTTAAGAGAGATTTACCTTTCCAAGTTGAAGCACCCCAAGCAAGCTTGATTTCCCATGGCATGTGAGGAACGGACAGAAGAGACAGTTGCAAAATACCATTCCAAAGAGAAGTGATCACAATACAATCAGCAAATAAATGATTTCTCGTTTCAAGAGCATCATTACAAAATACACAATAACCAACAGTAGTGAGACCCATACGAAGGAGTTTATCCCTCGTTGGTAGTCTATCAAGAATAGCCAACCAAGTAATAACACTAAATTTAGGGATGTGAAGGGGAAACCTGATAAGTTTATGCCAAGGGACTTTATCATGTTTGTGTCTAACTTCTTCCCAAATCCCTTTAGTGGTCGTATTACCAGCATTAAAAATGGGGATGGCTTCATCTTTCAGTTTTATAAGTTTATTGAATATGTAGCTAGAGGAAGCACTAGGAGACATTTGGCTAAAGTCGTTATTTTTTATAACATAAGAGTAAGTCCAAGCAATCCATAAAGAACCTTGACCAGCAAGAAGGTTGCGAATTAACAGAATCATGCAAACCTTATTACAAGATTTCAAATCTTTTAATCCCAGCCCTCCTTCAGATTTGGGTTTGCATAAATTGATCCAACTTACTCTAGCTCCAGAGGCTGAAGTGTCAGAGCCTTTCCATAGATATCTTGAGCAAAGTTGGTTAATTCTGTTAATAACATATTGAGGAAGCAGGAATTGACGACACCAGAAGTTTGCAATGTTCTGTAAAACAATTTTTATGAGTTTTAATCTACCAGCATAGCTTAAGTACCTCCCAGACCACTGGTGGATTCTAGATTTGATCTTATCAATAAGAGGGTAGAAGTCTTTAATAGTGAGTTTCCGGGGAACTAGAGGAACTCCAAGATACCTCACTGGCAAAAGGCCAATCTTGAAACCAGTAGAGGTTTTGATGACTTCAAGGTTCCTTGGAGAAATACCAGCTGCAAAAATTTCAGACTTAGCCACATTAAGTTGGAGACCAGAGATTTCATAAAATTTTTGAAGAACAGAAATTACTCCAACAATAGACCCTAAATTTCCCTTTCAGAAGATAAGGAGGTCATCAGCAAAAGATAGATGAGTGAGCCCTATTTTCTTACATTTAGGATGATAACCGAATAAACTTTTGATGGCAGCAAGATTAAGGAGCTTAGAAAGAATATTCATGGCTAGAACAAAAAGAATGAGAGATAAAGGATCTCCTTGCCTAAGACCCCTTTTACCTTTGAAATAGCCAATTAAAGAACCATTAAAGGAAATTGAATATCTTGCTCCATAATAGCAAGCTTGGATCCAAGATATGAATATGGGAGGGAGACCAATTGCATTGAGGATGGATGAAAGGAAATCCCAGTCAAGGGAATCAAATGCCTTTTGAAGATCAATCTTGATCGCACATCTAGGAGAGATTGAATTTCTACCATAGCCTTTAACTAGGTCCTGGGCTAAGAGAGTATTGTCAATAATGTTTCTTCCCTTAACAAAGGCAGTTTGATTAAGAGTAATCAGGTCAGGAAGTAAATTTTTCAGCCTTTGAACAAGAATCTTCGTAATTGCCTTATAGACCATAGAGCAACAAGAGATGGGTCTATAGTCTTTGATTTTTCTAGGATTAGTGATCTTAGGGACCAGAGCAATAATAGTAGAATTAAAAGCAGGTAACACCCAAGAGTTCTGAAAAAAATACTTAACAGCTTTTAAGACATCATCCCCAACCACTGACCAGGTAGTTTTGAAGAAGAAAGGGGTGAAGCCATCAGGCCTAGGAGCTTTATCATTACCTTGACTGAAAAAAGCTTCCTTAATCTCCTCATCAATGATATTTTTTTCCAAGTCTGCTAAACCCTCAGGGGACAGATTAATTCGAAGTAGATTATTAAGAACATTCATGTTAGCTTTCCCCAATTGATTATTGAAAAAATGAATAACTTCAGAAGCCATGTCATCAAAATATTCCAGTCTACTGCCTTGATCATTTACTAGGACTCTAATAGTTTCTCTCTTGTTTTTAGAAGCAATGACCGAGTGGAAGTATTTAGAGCATTTGTCACTCTCTTTAAGCCATTGGATTTTAGCCTTCTGTTTTAGGAATAAATTTTCTATGTGCTCAAGAGAAGAGAGCTCACTTTGAATAGTAAGTTCAGAGTCAATAGTAGAAGTTCTGTTAAGGGTAGAAAGCTGAATATGTTCAAGATCAATTTTATTTTGCTTAACCCTATCAGAAATATTGATGTAGCAGTCTTTGTTTAATTTCCTCAGGCAAGTCTTCAGATTTTTAAGTTTGAGGAAAAGAGAAACCATAGGATTACCTTGCATTGGTTGGAGCCAAGAATTTTGAACTTCAGAAATGAAGTTTGGATTCCTGGTCCAGAAGTTAAAAAATTTGAAAGGCTTGGGTCTATTCGTTTGGGAGTCTTTGTTAAGCCAAACGAGAGCCATACAGTGGTCTGAGGGCCCTGGAGCAAGAAATTCTACAAAGGAATTTTGAAAGAAACTGACCCAATAAGAATTAACAAGAACTCTATCTAATTTCCTAGCAAGATAGGAATCCTTTTGTTTATTGCTCCAAGTGAAAGTAGGATCAAAGAAAGGATGATCCTGAAGGAGAAGGTCATGGATTGTATCTTGAAAATCTTTCATTTCATTAGAAGTGTAAGAACCCAGAGTGTCATGATCTGAGCTTTCAACAGAATAGAGAAAGATATTGAAATCACCCCCTAAAATACAAGGGAATGAACCAATACTAGAGTCAAGATCTTTTAAATGTTGCCAGAGAAGTTTCCTTTGAGTACCATCATTATTTCCATAAATAGCAGAAATAAAACAAGGAACACCATTTCTAATAATTTTAGCAGTGATACACTGGGCAGTAACATGGCAGAGAGAAAGGTCCAAACCTTTTTTCCATAAGAACCAAATCCTACCATTAGAGGCATGGTCATAGTTTGTGAAGTAGTTCCAAGTACTGAATTTGAGATTAATTATATCTTCAAACTTTTCAGGTTTAACTCTAGTCTCTAGAAGGCAAAGAACTTCAACTTTGTAAAGAGAAGCCCTTTGCAGAACCTTATTCTATTTTTGAGGATTATTCAATCCTCTAATATTCCAAAAAGTAGAAAATCATTGAGAAGAAGATGGTAAATCACCCCCAGTTACTTTGTCAGAGACACAATTTGATTTATCAAGGTGTTCCTTCTTTTTTGCTTTAAGGTCTTTAATTAGAAGAGCCACTCCTAAAGCAGCTGATCTGGAATTTTTCTTGTTGATTTTCTAAGGGAGGAGAGGAATCATCAACAGAATTTAAGACCTCAAATCTGTTTGAGGATCCTTTTAAAGAGGGCTTGTTTTTTGTTTTCAAAGGTCGACCTCTTCCTCTTTTAGGAACATTAGAAGCTTTTGCAGCATTTCCAGTAGGTGAAACTGTCTGTTCCTCAGAAACGTTTAAATGGGAAAATAAGGAAGAATTTACATCCTCATATATAGAATGAGGGAAGACATTTTTGACATTATGGTCAGGGACAGTATTATCATTATGAGGCAAAAGAGATTTGCAATCAGCATTAGAGTCTGGAAGAGGACAAGAAATATCCTCTGTGGCAACAGAATCTGATGGGGGAATTGTTGAAGAGCTATTGTCCTTATTTGAAACAGGAATAGAAGCAGATTGGGCAATCTTGGCAGCAGGATCGGATAGGCAATCTGTTTCTGTTAAAGGTTCTTTTCCATTTGATGAATTATCATTTTTCCTTTTGGAATATGGTGACAGAGGAACTTGAGGACTAGACGAACTGGGGATGTTAGAGTGCACAGCAGGATGAGAATCTCTCTTTTTCCTCCAAATTTGTAAATTAGTAGCAGGAGCTGTATCTTTAGGAGCTAAACAAGCTTTATCAGTATGCCTAAATTTATTACATTTTAAGCAACAATTAGGAAGCCATGGGACTTCTACAAAAACTGTTGTAGTTTGCCCATTACCGAGAATAACCTCTATAGATTTAGGGATATCATCATTCACTCCAATTTCAACGCATAATTTAGCAAACTCCAATCTTGATTTTGAGGCAGTGACAGAATCCATGGTTAGAGGATTACCAATGGCACTTGCTATGTAGCTAAGGCCCTCTCTCGAAAACAATTCGAGAGGAACGTTGAAAAGGTGACCCATAATGGGATTTTAGAAAGATCAAATTGAAGTCTTTTAGCATTTGGTTCCCATTTTCTCAGAATTAAAGGTTTATTCAAGATGTGCCAAGGTCCATTCTGTAATACCCAATCCCTCGCAGAATCGCTATTGAAAGAAAAAATATAAAGATTACTGCCTGCGAAGCTAACTTGGACACGAACGCCTTTTGCCTGGTTGTTCCACAAGCTTTCGACCATTCTTTGCATGGTTGCAAAATTTGGAGCGCCCCCAGGATCTGACCCACTAGTGATGAACCCCATTCAGCGATACCAGCGTCATAAATTTCTTGTGGAGGTTGAACAATAGGTTTTGCGTCGCGAGATTTGGGAGGAAAATATTGAAGTTCTTGCCCCATTTGACATCCGAATAGCTTCATCCAGTCCATTATAGTGGAGAGAATTAGCACATGGATGATTGGGAAACAGGAAAACCCAGTAGAAATCACCGGAAACGCCCCGATTCTCAAATCCATTAGTTTCGCTAACGTACGCCAGAGAAATCAAAGAAAAAGTCGTTGGTAAAAAAATCTCAGAATGTTACAATTTGGCATCATATGTTGTTTGCCCAAAAAGTTCAAAAATTAAAAAAATTAAAAGGGTAAATTACACCATTCTTCACTAATTTATATTCTTTCTCCTATTTTTCTCATTGCACTTTCATTTTCTCTAAGTTACTCACTAAACTTTGAAATTACTCTTGTTTTGATCATTATAAATTATTTTATTATTATTTTGGTATGACATGATATTTTTTTTATTATTTAATACAAAATAATTGAAAATAAAAAATAGAAGATGGCCAGATGCCACGACCATCGTAGATGGTGGTCGTTTTATCCCAAATTTTATTAGTCGATTCGTCTCGACCCGCTGAGTTCGAATCTGGTGGCTGTTTCACCGGAAAATGTCTCATAACCTGTGAATATTGAGTGAAACATTTCAGCTTCCTCACTTTTAATATCTAATTCATGGGCTTCAGAGCAAGTTCTGACAAATTGGATGTCGACTTTAGACTCACGGTGTCGAGGCAAAGCGACCCATGAAATTTAAGATCGAACAACTACCATCTAAAACGATCAATGGTGACCGACAATAGTGTCTAGACATCTTCTATTTCAAATTATTTTATATTAATAAATAATAAAAATTTGTCAGTTCATACAAAAATAATAATTTTTTTTCGAGTGATCAAAATAGAAATAATTCGAAAGTTTAGTGAGTATATTAAAAAAATAGAAGAATAAAAGACAATATAGTTCAACATGGAATGGTATAATTTACCCAAATTAAAATAAGAAGAAAAAAAACCCACCACTAAAACCGTAGGTACTGGACACCGCTTCCCTCAGTCAGCTGCCCTTGTCGACTTGAAATAACCTAGTCGTCCTCACTCTTGCGGCGCCACTCAGCCCTTTCAGAACCCTCCACGACAGACCCGTCGCGCCCTCGGACTTCCCTCCTCCCAATCTCACGGCCCACCCTCACAACCGTCGTCTTCAACGCAGATCATTCCCCTCCTACCTCGACTAACTGTTTTCTTGTCCAAGTCGGCAGTCGCTACTCGGTTCAGGCAACATCTCTCTCTCTCTCTCTCTCTCTCTCTCTCTCTCACACACACACACACACACAGACAAGACACTCACTTATTTTTTTTAATTTATTTGAAGGAAACCAGATCCATCCCTACCCCAAGATTTATAATTAATGTTGCTTTGATCCTTTTTCAGTGAAAATTTTGGCAAAGATAGCAATCACTAATGGCTGCAATCACTAATGGCTGTTTAGGTTTTGTTTTGAAATATTCTTTTTATTTAGAGATAATTTTTATTGTTATGTTTTTCAGCAAATATTTTAGCTCTGTAACTGATTGATAAATGTGAAAATTGATTAAAAAAAGTTGTGAAAAAGTTGAACAAATTTAAACAAAAATCGGTCGGTTGCTTCGGTTTCTTTACGAACTCGGTTCGGTTTTAGTTTCAAAAAAATCGAAATTCGCTTTCGTAGTTGTTTGGTTTTTCTGCACTGACCTGACTGATTGCTCACCTATAGGAATATTTATAAGTTATTTATGCTCAAGTTGTATGGTATGTTTGATTGTTTTTTTTTTTCTCTTTTTTTCAATCTAAAGGAAATACATTCACAATGGGATTACCAAATGCGAGTGCGGACTTGTCAACTGAAGTGGAGGTAGATGCTTTCAGGCGACTCTTTCCTCTTCGTTTCTTTGAGAAGCATCTTTTAGAATCTATACGCCCTGATGCTCGACCACTTGGACGAGCAAGAGATACAACCATTGCCCTTGGTTAGTAAAGGAAAGAAAAAAAAAACAACAATGAAACTTTTCTGTGGCATAATTTTTCCTCATGCTTGAGCTGATTCCTTTAATATCTAGGGGCTGTTGCATCTGCTAATGGTTCCGCACTTGCGAAAATTGGTTCAACTGTATGTTTATCACTTTCTCTTAGTACATGCTGCTTTACGTTTCCTAGCAATTAAGCCGAGAGTTAATAATTTGTTATGTTGCATAGACGATGCTGGCTGCTATCAAAATGGAAGTCATGACCCCTTCAATGGAAACACCTGATGAGGGTTGCATAGGTTAGCTGCCATAAGTTGCGTGCTTTACTCTCTCTGTTTCTCTTCTCAAAACATGTCTCTTATCTCATAATTTTTCCCTCATTTTCAGCAATTGATTTCCACATGCCTCCAATTTGTTCTCCAATTGTTAGGCCTGGCCGACCGGCTGAGGCAGCACCAGTTGTGGCAAAGCAATTATCTGACACTATTTTAAGGCATGCCAATTTATTCCCTAGATTGTTTATCGCTGCTGAGATGCACCCTATTCTAGTCTGCTAATTTATGTGTAGTTGTGATCCCTATTTGTGCTTTGATTCTTTAGAATGCGGAGGCTGTAATTTGTTATTTTGTCTTGGTGTGGATTCAGTTCGTTGTCTTCATCTCCATTTACTTATGATTACTGATGTGGTTAACTGGGTATTTTAGTCTTGAATATTGAAACTTTGAGTTCCCTCTTTTATTTCTTTTATACTTGCTGAAGCACACTGCTCGGTTTTTTTATCTTAATTTGTTGGTGGTTTTGTTTCCTTCGGTGCTTTTTACACTTATAAATTGTTCTACTTTAAAAATGTTCCACTTTGATTCATTTTTCTTGATATTTATGTTCTCAAACATCTTGTCACATGTGTAACTACAGCTCTGGCATGATTAATTTGAAGGAACTGTCCTTGGTTAGTGGAAAAGCTGCTTGGATGGCCTATTTGGTAGGTGTTTGTGGTTTTAAAATGTGTTAACAATCTGTGTCAGAGTTTGAACACTAGCCATATAGTATTCAAGCAAGAAAATATGGAAATTCAAGTAGTGTCTTAGTGCCTTTATTAACCTTGAATATGAAAGTAACAGTATTCTTTTCTTTTTCCAGGACATTTACTGTTTGGATGCTGATGGTGCTCTTTATGATGCTGCATTACTCGCTGCCGTTGCTGCCTTTTCTCATTGTAAGCGTTTCACTCGTGCTTCAGAATATACTAATACTTGCTCGAAACTACTTTCCTCTTCCATGAATTGCAAGTGGGAGGGAAAACATTGTAATGGTGAAAATTGAAATCCTTTATTGTTTTTAAGAGAAAAATTTATGTTCCACCTAAGGAAATCGTTTTAAGATAGGAAGCAAGGTCAACTATATGTTATGCCTGTAATCTATTTTCTAAAATGTCATGGTTGAATAAGAAGCCTGTATATCTTGCTATTCCCTTGCAGCTTTAATGTTGAAGAATAGATTTGTTTTGGAGTGTCTAATACTTGGTGTTTGTTTTTTACGTAATTTCTCTGGTTACTATTTTAAAGTGATGCAAATTTATACACTGGATTCAAGTTCAACTCTGGTTCTTGTAAGTAAATTTATTGTAATTGTTTTAATTTTATGAAAAACAAATTACAGTGGAAATCCCGGTAGTATCTCTCAATGATGATGGAAAAATAGTATTATCCGAGGAGCAAGGACTATCTGACAACGATCCCGTCAATAAAGAGAAGAGAAAAGTGAATCTGGGTAGCATTCCGTTTTCACTGACATGCATACTCCACAAGAATTACATTTTGGCAGATCCTACTGCTGAGGAAGAGTCTATTATGGAAACATCTGTAACTGTGGTTTTAGATACATCAAGTCAACTTATTTCGCTTTATAAACCAGGTGGAGCAGTTCTAGCATATACATCAGCTATCCAGGTCAGTTGAATCTTAAGTCTTTGCGGCACAGTAATGTTTTAACTAAATGTAGAAGCATTTGCCGATGCTTTTGCAGCATAATACATTTAAGTTTTTGGTCTTACTCTTATCATGGGATATTTTTCGTCTAACTTTAGAAGCCACCTTGGACTCTGATGTTTGAAGTTGAAAGAATGTGTTGGACTTCTGAGGAAGTCGCGTGATAACAATAAAAAAAATCAAATTCTGTATGATTTGTTCCGTACAAAGTGTCGTATTAAAATTATAATGAACAGATGGGGGAAAAGCTGATACGAAAACGGCTTCCATGGTTGCAGGATTGCATTGCATTAACACGGCCAAGAGTGAAGGAGCTTCAGAAGATTCTAGAGGAAGCCGTTTCCGGCATGGAGGTTGATTAATCTTGCTGTTAATGCTTTGTTTATCAGCTAAATTTTGCAATTAATGTTGGTAATTGTGTTTTAAAATTAATTATGGATGGTTCTGTTGCATTTGATGAATAACATTGTTAGTTCTGGAAGTGGGATCAGTTCTGGTATGCCAAAAGTGGCAGATTTTATTTATTGCCTTGTGATATGTTTTTCCTATAGCCGTTGTGGTTAAAAGCCTATCTACAACTCAAGTCGTCTCTTTCAGAGAATGATCCTTTGGTTCATCAAATAATAAAACATTAGAACGCCAAATTGCAATATTGCTTCCCAGGGCTACAAATGGAAGAAACACTACACAAATCAGTATTCAGACCTTCAAATTCTCCTTTATCAAGTTATGTTGGTGCTGGGTAGAACGCCTGGTTCTTGTTAGTCTTCCTTGATAGACACGGCTCTCATTTTCCTTGCTTCGGTGGTCTCTACCTTAACGATTGTCTTGCAAATGTCTCCCAAGAGAATGTCTTTCAAAGTTTAAATTTTTAGGGTAAACTACCTGGATGACCACCCAAATATAGGGTTAGTATCGAAATGACCATTTTCAGAAGGGTTAGTATCGAAATGATCATTTTCAAATTTGTTTTCATATGACGATTGAACTATTTAAATGAGTTTAATATAGTTACTAGCCATAAAAATCTAAGGGAAGGTTGGCGTATGTGTCATGTGTAAATTGATTATTGATACATTTTAATAGTTACACTTGTCATAGCCTGATTGGAGATTTTTTTATAAAAAATTAATATTTTAATTAAATGAATTTTCCCACCAAATCAAGTAGTGTTACCACTTGTTTAAATGAAAAACAAACATGAGTGAAATTCTGCTGCTAAGAGGATTTGAATTTGAGACCTTGGGTATAAGGTGGGCACGCCTCAACCATTGAAGCAAGCCTAATATATTTTTCCCTAATTTATCAAACCTTGTATATATATTGTTTTAAATATACATAAATAATAATAATTTAATAAATAAATTGTAGGATAAACTACTAGTATGACTAAACAATATTATAATAAATAAATTATAGTTAATGCAAGGTTTCAAAATAAAAATAAAAATAAAATTTTTACATTTAAAAATTAAATTATTTTTATATTAATTATTTTTAAACAAGTTTAAATTATATATATTTTCTTTCTTACAGTGTTTGTTATCATTTGTCATTTAAAAATAATTATAAAATAATAATTTTTAAAAAAGTATTTCTTACAAGGTTTGCTATTCATTTATCATTTAAAAATAATTATAAAATAATTACTGTTAAACAAATTTAAATTATATATTATTTTGTCTTTCTTACAATGTTTATTATTCATTTATCATTTAAAAATAATTGTAAAATAATTATTCTTAAACAAGTTTAAATTATATATTATTTTTAAATGATGAATGAATAACAAAAATTATAAGAAAGAAAAAGATATATATAATTTAAACTTGTAACTATTAAAATTAATTAAAAAAACTCTCCAATTAGGTTATGACACGTGTAACTATTAAAATATGTCTCAATAATCAATGAACACAAAAACACATCCTTATTGGATTCAAGAATTATTTTTTAATTAAATTAAGACTAAATTGAAAGAATATTTAAGTATTGAGGATCAACTGTGAAATTATACAAAATTTATGTCACTGCCATGTCACACATTCGTTAGATTTTAACGGCTAGTGGTTATATTGAACCCATTTAAATAGTTTAATAATCATATTGACACAAATTTGAAAACTCTGGTTATTTCGATACCAATCTATAGTTGAGTGGTCATCAAAGTATTTTCCCAAAATTTTTAATATGAATGTATGAATTACATAGTTTCTCAATAAAAATCCAGTTACTACCTAGTTTCCAAGTGGCACCAAATCCTTGAAGGTAGCCATTAGAACTGATTTCAGATAAGGGTGGTGACTTGGACATTCCACCCCAAATTGGAGTTTAGCCAGGAATGTTTTAGATGTATAAGCTTGCTTCACATGCTCAGATTTTTGTTTTACATATTCCAATTTTGTTTACTCAAATTATCTCTAAAATATTATGTCAACCAAAATCCATGGCCTAGGAAAATATAGGGGGGGGGGGAATGAACAACTTGAATAACTGCAAAAGGTACAGGAGAAATAAAAATTAAGAAAGTCCTAAAAAGTTATAAAAAAGGAATTAATTTACCAAGTGGAATATTATTATTATTAACCAAAGGAATAATAGTAAATAAATAGAAGAAGAAAAAGTGAAGAAATTGTAGAAGATAAAGAAATGGAAGGAGGTTCTAAAGGAACACTCAAAGCTGTGGCTCTCATCGCTGGAGACAACAACGTTAGAGGCTCTGTTCACTTCACACAAATCCCAAACGGTTCTTTCTCTCTGTCTCTTCATCTTCATTTCTGAGAGAATTTGGTTTTCTATTTATTTTGGGATTGATTTAATTTTATATGTATTTGACTTGTAAATATTTAATGCATATAGGGATAACCCATGTCCAAGGAAAGATAACAGGCCTGTCTCCTGGCCTTCACGGCTTCCATATCCATGCCCTTGGTGATACCACCAATGGCTGCAATTCCACTGGTATTCCCAACAACCCGACTCTTCTCTCAACCTTTTTATCTAATCCAATCCTCTTAGATTGTTTTTTTTTCTCTTCCATTTATGGTATTAAGATGACTTCTTTTCTTTGATGAAGTTTGAATCTTTTTAACTTATGCAACTTATATAAATTAAGTTGATATCATTTAGTTTAAGATGGGGTTTTCTTAGTGCAAATATGTTGAATTTAGGTTGATGACATATTTCTCTAAGGTAGGGTTTCTCCCCTTTTTGGGCTCTTTTCTGGTTTAGTATAAAGTTTCAACATTTCTGCGAATTTCTGTTAAGTTTAGGTTTTTTCATTTGTTCCTTAAATAGTTTCTTTTACCCTATATCACAATTCTCATATGGTGGCTTTTGTTGCCTGTACTTTTCTGATTTACATTAGGGCCTCATTTTAATCCATTGAAGAAGAATCATGGAGCTCCGAGTGATGGAGAGCGCCATGCTGGTGATTTGGGTAACATTATCGCCGGCCCTGATGGTATATGCTGTTTCTGTCATTTATATGAGTATTCATTTGATATGTCGTTATTTGTGAATGGGTCATAGTTTTTTTTAATGATAATAACTCAATGTATCCATTGCAGGGGTTGCTGAGGTTTCGATTAAAGACTGGCAGGTAAGGCAGTTTTATGCTTCTCTGATTCTTAGAAGTTAAGTGTTTCTATTTTCTTTGTTTTTTGGTGTCCTGTGACAACGAATCAATTTTGTTCTTTGGACTGGTAGTGATACTTATCAAGTTCTTTTAATGTTCTTACTCTCATGCAGTTTTGGCTTCTTGGAGATTGAATTGATTATACTTGGTTATAATGATTGTTCTTCTGTTTGTTTTGATTTGTAGATTCCACTTGGTGGGCAGCATTCCATTTTAGGGAGGGCAGTTGTTGTGCATGCTGATCCTGATGATCTTGGCAAAGGTGAAATATTTGGGTTTTTTTTTGTACAAATGATAAGAGTTTGCATCCACCATTGAACTGCATTGCCTATTACTATAAGGAACGATATATTTCGTTATGAACATGTTGGTTATGGACTTATGGTTGATTTGCCTTCTCACATCCAATGTTCTTTTTCTATTAACACACACACACACCGTACTCGCCCACGACTAATCGACAAACCAAATCAAGAACAAAAAACATAAAAGGGTTTGGGGACTTGGCTTCTGATGATGTCCTGAAATGTTTTAGGACACTGCTTCTGTTGCCTTCCAATAGGCTCCTCCAACTTTTCAGCTGTACTCTTTCTTGTCTAACATAATTACTGATCTCTTGGTGTGATGATTCCCTTATCTTTTCTGATCATATTATGCTCATGACTTCTATTCGGTTGCCCGTAAAAATCAATTTTCCGTTTTATGTTTTTATTTACACTAAATATAATGACTAATGCAGGTGGACATGAACTTAGCAAGACGACAGGGAATGCCGGTGCAAGAATCGGATGTGGTAAATATTTAGTTTGTCAAATGTTTTCTTAGGTCATAAGTTCGTCAATGGCTTAGTAGGGTAGGTCTGGCTCTGGTATATCAAGATTCACAAGCTTGCCATGGTTGTTTCTTCCTTTGTATAGCTGATGCATAGGCCTTGCAATTTTGAACATGACACAAAAGATGACACATGAAAAATAAATAAAATATACAGCGTGAACAAACGACACGAACGAATCTATGGATATATCCGGGTCTATTTCTGTATGCTTGTGGGACTAACATTTGATTCATTGACTTTGAGCAGGTATCATTGGCCTTCAATCATCTGTTTAGAAGTAGTGTTGCAGTTAAAATGTTATCTGGCAGAAACTGTGAACTGTAATCTTCTGGTTCAGTTTATGTATCTCTCAGTCTACTTGCAAACAAAATTGGGATGGAGATCTAAAGCCCATCTGTAATTTATATGATCAATATGAAAGGTACTTCAGTTAATGGAACTTTGCTTACTTTCTGCACCATGGAGGAATCTATTTCTGCTTATTTCATTTTTATACTATATTTCTGAATTAGAATAGGGAAATTTCAAGTGTCGAGGATCTGAGTGCTTTTTTTTTCTGATAAAATTTTAGTACTGCTTTGGGACTTTTATACAAGAAAAAAGTATGTCACGTGGTTGCAGGACGGATGTATGATTTTATTTTAAAAGAAAAATATCTAAAATTTGAGGGAGTATAAACTTATAAAATTTTAAGGGACGAAAATAAATTATCAATGCAAAATACAAATAAGATATTAAAAATATATGATAATTTGAAAATTTTAAGGGACAATTGTACTCGACCACTCTCTTCTTGACCTATGTTGAACTTATATTTTGATATTAACAAATTAGGAAATATTTTTGGATTTGATTGAATTTGTTCAAAGTTTTCAAAAATAATTCGAAGTTCATAAAATTAGAATTTGAACACAAAATACTTTTCTAGTTAAGTAGTATCGATATTGTTCATACAATATCGATATTGTTACACCCCGACCCGGATATGACTCTGAGGTGTCACATTGACTTTTCAAACGCTTTGACTCTTTTAAAATGTGACTAAAATTTTACTTTTTACTTTTATTTTACAAAGAAAAACGAAAAAATTAATAACATATCAAATCATCTACAATTTAAAACATTTTTAATACATGCCAACAACATTTCAAATAACAAAAGCATATACAATTCACATTTTACTAATATGATATTCTTCATAGGTATGTTGTCATGCTCTTGCTTATTCGACGTACTCCCTGAAGCTCTTTACACCTACGTGTGAAAACAATCACACGCGAAGTCTATGACTTAGTGAGGCAATACTGAGTATAGTAAAATAATAAAAAGTTATGTAAATGTTTTCAAAAAGAATCGTTAACTATTATAACATTATACTCTTCATAATTTATAACATACTTTTACTCGTTGATTAATTTATATACATTTGACTATTGCTTATACATTTCTTTGAAACATTTCGTATAAAACCAACAGACACTTCATTAACATTTTAATGATGTTACTCATTGTTCAAATTATATCAAGTTTGTTTTATTAGCCCATCGTTTATCGCTAAGAACTCAAGGTATGCTAGTACATTGAGGTTGTGCACTAATGCAGTCACCACTGTTCATATATTTGCATCGAAGTGCCGCGTAGAATTTGCACCGAAGTTCCACGTAGATATGTCCCGAAGGACCGTGTAGAATTTGTCTCGAAGGACCACATAGATTTGTCCCAAAGGTCCACGTAGATTTGTCCCAAAGGACCGCGTAGAACCTTCAACTCTTGGCATGCCAACTATACCCTAATTCTCATAAAATATACTTTGGGCTTTAACCATATAATGATTTCACATTTATTATTCAAGTGTCTTTTATTCACATAGACTTCAGTTACTTAATACATGTTCACATAGACATTTTCATGTAGAACACATTGACATATATCATATTCACATAGATCATTTTTCACGTATAACACTTTTCACGTATAACATATTCACCTATAACATATACTCATATTATTTCACGTAGCATTACCTGAATTTATTATTGATTCCATAGAACGATTATTTATAATATTTCATTTTACCTTACTCAAATAATATTTTCTTCACATAGAACCTATACTTTAATATAACATTATTCAAATTATTAGTTGTTCTCATAGAATATATTCACATAAATCATATACTTATAATATTTCACATTATATATATATTCGTAACAATGAAATCGAAACAGTACTTTTAAAGTACCGTTTAGATAAAACCATCACATAATACAATTCAGTTGGTTCTTAAACATATGATATTGACTTATTGCAAGCTGTCCTCAAATACAAAGTAAGTAAGAATTCACTCACATTTGTCTCACTTAAGCCCTAAGCTACGCTTTTTCACTTTAACTCCCCAGCTTTATACGTCCCTTCGTTCAACATTTGATTTCGATCAAATCTACACATCACATGACCAATATGAATATCGTAGCTCAATTCTCATCTAATCAATTAACCTTTACTTATACAAAATGAAACACCTAATTTAACATTTCAGACTTAATAGTATCAATACTCTTCCTTTAGTACCGATACTTCACTTTTATAGTACCGATACCCACTTCGGTATCGATACCATTTTGGAATTCTAGAAATCAGACTTTAATTATACCAAGACTAAGGTATCGATATTGTTCATAGTATTCATACTCTTCCCTTAAATTTTAACCTTATAGTATCGATATTGTTCTCCCAGTACCGATGCCCTTACCCATAATTGTTATATTTCACTTCGAAAATTACCAAACTTCACTTATATCTACTACTTTTAACTCCATTCATACCTTTAAACTCATTTACACTTATTACCACTAACTTATATCCATTAAAACCCCTATAACACCTTAATTCTCCATAAAACTCTTGAAACTAAAAATCATACCAATTTCTCAAACATGTTCTCAATCATTTCTAACACTTCAAATTTCTTATATACACCTATGACAAGTCAAATATGCTTTTAGAATCCAAATATGCATCATTTTCTAACAATTCCCTTAAAAACCCATTTTACTAATTCACCAATTATTCATCAATCTCTTAGTTTCAACTCCATCCGATCGCTCTTGAACTTGAATTCGATGTCTCATAATATTTCGAATACGTGAAAAAATGAATTGCATCAAAAACAAAACTTAATGCGAAAATCAGATCGAATCAGAAGGTTAAATGCTGAAAACATATTACTAAGTTTAAATTTGGCAAAATGGACCCCAAAAACAGACTCAGAATGTCGAAAAAAATGTAAGGATAGGTGTTTCAAAAAAAGTCAATGCCGATCAACGACTGGTCAACGTTAATCAACAGTGGTCAATACTGGCTCAACTCGGCTTGGTTAACTCGACTTGGCTCAGTTTGATTCAGGGTGGCTCGGGTTAAATTGGTTTAACTCGGTCATATCGGTTCAAGCTGATTCGACTCAGTCATACTAGTTCTAGAAGCTCCCATGTTGGCAAACGATGCCCACGAGTAGGGGGCGGCGCGTGTGAAGACTACGACAGTCGGATGACTACCAAAATTTTCAGAATTCATCACTGGGGAATTAGGAATCACTTACCGATGTTATTTTACTTACCGATTTTATTTTGTTACAAAGAATGACGGAGGGTGGGTTTTTAAAATGGCCAAACCTTATCCAATGATGACATACGAGACAGATGACAAAGCAACGACGAAGGAACACCACCGATTAGGTTTTGATTGAAACAACATGAGGGTTCCAATGGTGGTGGAGTTGTGGTGCACGGATGACAAAGGTAGCCGGAATCGAGGAAAAACAACGAGGATGGGTTTGGTTTCTGATGAACATTTACAAAGATCACTACAATGAATGAAACCGTTTCATAGAGAGTGGCCGATAAGGTTTTGATCACACAAAGTGGACGATGTCGTCGATAGTGGCGGTACACGCCATGAACGATGGGAGAGGAGCGATTGAAGTTACAACGGTAGGATAAAGGAGGGAAATGGATTTCTTGAAAGCATGATTCGTATCCCAATGGGAATAGTTTCTTTTGGGTGCTATAAATTTGATCCATATCAATTATAAAATTTAAATTTTAATATTATATTATCAAATAGTAGCCTAGCCTTGATAGTAGAGGCATGAGTTAGCATATTGTTGTAAAATCATGAGTTCAAATTGTAATTTACATTTTTATTTTATTTTATTTCCTTATGTCGCTTTATGGCTAAAGAAAAATGGGTAAATTTGGGTCTACATTTATAAGTGCCATATTTTTTTAAGGCTTAATGCTCAAATAAGTGTTCAAACTATATCTTTTTTTTGTAAAATAAGTACCTACATTTTTTTGGCCATCTGGGTGCCTAATGCTACAAATGCTAGCACTTTAGGTGCCCGGGCCATCAACAACGTTAATTTTCCCCGTTAAGTGACATGTGTCACAACCTGATAACTTTGAATTTTTTTTAAAACAACGCATTAAAAATATTATTATATTTATAAAAAACCATAACTTTTCTTATATTATAAACAACCCCAAAATCCAAAATCTTAATCTTAATTCGTTGTCGCCACCCTCTCCGGCAATGACCACCACCGCCGACATAGTCCTTGCCATCATTCTAGTTATATGTCACCATAGTTGTTGCCGATTCACCATCAGAATCGCGTGGGATGGCGATTTTTCATTCTAGGTTTCGCGTGATTTAAAATATTGATTTGTCGTCGATCGATCACGATTTCATAGGGGGTTTTGATCGTCGGTGAGAGGAGAGGTCGGGTGAAGCTTTTTCGATGGACAAGGGCGGCAGTCGGAGTGGGTTTAGGGATTGAAATGAATGTTTTCAAAGTTTAGGGGTTATTTCAAATTTTGTGTGTTTTCTTTTTAAAAAATATACATTCATCACTAGAATCGCGTGGGATCGTGATTTTCATCCTAGGGTTCGCGGGATTTAAAACGTAGATTGGTCACGATTTCTTAGGGGTTTTGGTCTTCAGGGGGTAGAGAGATCGGGTGCAGCTTCTTCGACGACAAAGGGTGGCAGTCGGTGTGGGTTTAGGGGTTGAAATAAAAATTTCAAAGTTTAGGGGTTATTTCAAAATTTGTGTGTTTTCTTTTTTAAAAATATATTTTTTTTAATTTTATATAAAAATTTTAAAATTCACATTTGTGACAAGTGTCACTTAATGGGAGAAAACTAACGCCGTTGACGGCCCGAGCACGTAAAGTGCTAATGTTTGTAATGTTAAGCACTCAGATGGGCCAAAAATAATATATAGTCACTTATTTGAAAAAAAATGTATAATTTAGGCACTTATTTGGGTATTAAGCCAATTTTTAAATATTGGGAAGAAAAATACATATGAGAAAGAAGCTACGTAGATATTGGATTATGTCTTGTAATTTATATTTAATTTTTGATGGGAGATAATTGTTAAAATAGAGGAAAATTTGA